AAATAGAGTCTTGTTTACAGAAAGAGAGTACATTATAAATAAAGAGAACATGGGCTATGGTTACTGCTGATGCAGATGGGAACAACTGTTTATATGTTTATAGATATGGAATGTGTCTGGGTTCTTTAAAAGGTCAGAACTACAGATTTATGTCAACAGGGCAAAAATACCAACTGTCACTTATCAAAACCTCTGGCTCAGATGAAAGAAGTGATACTGCAGTTCCTTATCCTGTACGGAAGGTCTTGAGGGTTGGCCCGCAAGGAATGTCAGCCCCAACTTCTCCTTCTCTTTGTTCTTTGCCTCATCTTCTCTCTACTTAGCTCTGGTTTCCCCCTCAGTCTGATTCTCTTGCCCTGCCTTTGCTTCCCGTATTCCCCTTTCTCCCAGGCCTCTTGCCTCATCTCTCCTATCCCCATTGTCCTTTGCTGCCTCCCTCTTCCCTTAGCCCTGCCAGCTGCTCTGCTTCCACATCCCTTCCCTTAGCCATTAATCACTTCTTCCACAACTCTACCTACGTAAGGCCGTATGGCTCTTGGCTGCATCTTTCCTCTCTTCCACGGTCTATGGCCGTATTTCCATACAAATCCCCCACAGGAATGTTTACGAAAGTATAGTCTTGGAATAGGGGAAAACTTCCATGTGGAGTCCTGCTCCACCCCCCCCCCCGTGTGATCTTGCAAAAACATAGAGGAACTATGCCCCTGTTTCCCAAAGTCAAAAGCTATCCCTTAGAAGAGGAAATAAGCAGTACCTGGGCAGAAGAACAATTAAATAGAATGCCCACATTCACTCTTGACTGTTAGTGCCAGACTTCTTCAACTCAGCCTCTTTGCCTCTTGCCCACAGTACTGCAGACGTATAGTTTCTTTCATATAAAGTGAAGAAAATCTGGTGGCCATCCAACCATTTGAATTACCTTCATGGAAACCTAACATTCGCATTTTATTTATAGTTAGGGAAACCATGCAGATAGGTGTGGGTAGAAGCAAGGGACTGATCTACCAGCTGTTAAATGTCAGATCTGCACAGTCAGACGGCAGACACCCACCCACCCATGCTATTTCTAGGGAGAAGGGACACTTAGGGGCTTTCCCTGGCCAGGGGTTATCCAAACACTTTCCTTGTTAGTGAGTGAGGGAGCTTGAGCAGAAAAGGGAGATGGACATGCAGACATATGGTATGCTATTTAAAGAAATATCTGTCAACTCTCTTTTCCAGTTTAATGTCTGTTTATATGGGATTACGTGCAAACTTTGTCAGCCACGCTCACACATCAAATGGCATCGGTAGTCCTGTAACTTCCAACTTTTAACTCTTCTCAGTTCCAAACTTTATTCAGCTTCTAGATGAAGCACTGCTTCATACTCACCACTGGGCTTCAACTTCACTAGTCCCCTTTCATATACCAAAATTTTGATAAAAGCAGTAAAACAGCTGTGGGAACTATTGCTCAATCTTTCTGATAAAGTCATTCCATTAATTGATCTTATTTTGTGATTGTATTGCTTTATTTTATTCTTGGTTATCTCCAAGAAGAAGAAGAAGAAGTTGGATTTATACCCCACCCTTCACTTGGAGTCTCAGAGCGGCTTACAAACTCCCTTCCCTTCCCCTCCCCACAACAGACACCCTGTGAGGTGGGTGGGGCTGAGAGAACTCTGACACAAACTGCTCTTTTTCAAGGACAGCTGTGCCAGAGCTTGTGACAGACCCAAGGTCACACCAGCAGGTGCAAGTGGAGGAGTGGGGAATCAAACCCGGTTCTCCCAGATTAGAGTCCGCACACTTAACCACTACACCAAACTGGCTCTCTCCAAGCATTGCAGTACTTCAGCTTTATTTATCAAGACAGTTTTTAACAAAGAATACCAGCCTTGGTATCATGAATATTTCCACAACATATGAATTGAAGTATCCCAAATGTCTTTTATGAGGGTCTGCTGAAAACTTGAAGGCAGTGATTAAGGGGTTAAAAAAACATGGGCACTGCTAATGGCTAAATGTGGAGAGGAAAAAACCCAGATGTGGGTATGTAAGACGTAATTACTTTTCTAGTTAGATTTTTCCACTATGATGCAATTTTTTATGAACATTCTCAGGCCAGCCTCCATGTCCTTTGTAAAAAAATATAGCTATTTAATATTTACCTTGCAATCCTAAACAGAGTTACACCATTCCAAGTCCACTGAAATCAAATGGGCTTATAAGAGTTGCTTCCGCACTAGCTATTTAGTTGGGAATTAACCATCATTTGTTCATTGAGTTGTACTGAAGAATTCAAATGACAGTGTTAGAAATCCAGTGTATGCCACATATTTTCCATGTAGCCTTCCCATCTTTTTAAAATTTGTGGCAGACTGTGGCAAATGTTGCTAAATTTGTGGCAAATTAAAGAAAATTCAGTCGCAGTGACAGGCTGTCCACTGTGGACAGTCAAAACACAATTAAGATTTCTCACACTTATCATTCCTTTAAAATTTCCTCCTGTTTCTTTGGTTCCTGGTTAATGACATCCTGTTCTCTCACAGTCAGTTGTAGCATTTCTGAATCAAACATTAATTACTAGTTCTTATTTTGGGAATGGAGGTGGGGAATTCATTTATTTTCATATTGCAGCCAAAGCCATTGCTCTGTTTTTATCACCACAATTTCATAAGCATGCAATTGCAATAATGTTTAAGGAATGAAAAATGGTGCTGGCTGCAAAGTGAAAATCAGTAGTTAGTTTCCTGAAACAAGGATTGATAATTAACAATTGATTCATGAATACTGTGGCCAATACTCTAAAACAAAAGAACTAAAGGAAAACTGAAGGGAGATTTCATTAAACAGGGCCAATTTCTGTTCCGATTAGACATACTGGATGTTTCCTACAGAACTGAAGGGAGATTTCATTAAACAGGGCCGATTAGACATACTGGATGTTTCCTACACTGATGGGTACAGCCAGATTTTTATGGAGCATACATTGCTGTATTAAGTGCTGTGCAACTCCAGTTTCAATTTCACTTGAAGCTGACGTTTCTGGCAAGTCAACACAGCGAAAGGGTTACATATCATGCTAAGTGGAATTTGTCATTAATTGCAGGTGGATTTTCATGTTCCACTAACATGTCTCAGCCACAGGTCTCTTGTATATAAAGGCAATTTGGCCACTACAGTACAGATATGCATGCAAAATTTCATTGTACCACTAAAAAGCACTTTTTATGCCATACTCCTGCTGATCTCTTTTCTTTATCCCATTCTCAACCTTCAGCTTTCAAATGAAGTATGAAAGTGTATTTATTTAGAACATTTCAAATTCATTTTTTCCCTCCAAAATCAGACTCTAACGTGCAGTGCCTTGGCTGCCTTTTAAAATGTTGTAATTTTTTTTAAAAAATGTGATTTTAGCTAAAATTATACAAATACCACTAAAATATCCCCACCCCAACACCAGTCTTCTCTGTTCACTTAGCACAAAGACCAACCCAGTGAGCTAAAAGGGGGAGAAAAAAGAGAAAAGAAAAAGCATAAAAAGGAGAAAAAGGGAAGACAGGCAGCATCATATCATGGGTCCCCCCCCCAGTCTATCTACATGCTCCCTTGTCTGCTAACTTTGTGATGAAGGACCTGAAGCTGTGATGCAGGAAGCAAACGAAACCATCTTTCCCTCCATGCATCAGCATCCCTTAACCTTTAGAATGCTTGGTGGCTTCCAAACAGAAACCACCATTCCCACTCCTGCCACTGCCCACCAGCTGTCATATGAACACCATGGCAGGGGATTATAACTTCCTTGAATAGTGGAAAGGGCAGGCTTTCAGGAAACAGTCTGAGATCTGACAGCCTTTGGTCGCCTGCTTTGGCCTGCTTGGTTCCACCTTCAGCAGACGAAGCCCAGAGAAAAAGCAGCCTCTCTCTGGAGGGTGCAGAATACAGTGGATGAGTCATGCTGAGTATTACAGTGACATCTGCTAGCGCTGCTATAGTTATGGATCCATAAGCCTGCCTGTTTAAAGCCCCTGTACGAAAGGAAGGGGA